ACATCAAAATAATATACAGAAAACAGCACTTATGACCCATTGTATAAGAAGCAACCACACACCAAATTTTGATGAAACAACAATCTTACAACAAGAACAACACTATAACAAGCGACACACATTGGAAATGCTACACATAATTAACACACCAACCTACAAACGACTAAACTACAAGACAGACACAGAAAATTGCGCTCACTTGTACAGACACCTCTTAAACAGTCAAACAACCTCAGTAACAATCTCCACGTCAAAAAGCGCAGACGTGTAAAATAATGTATGTAAAATGTTCGAAATAATGTTTAATTTATTGTATTATAATTGTTAATTGTTTTTTGTATCTTGGTGTTAGTGCCCTGAAGACGGTTTGCCGATGTGCAACCGAAATATATCGGAAGAGAATTGAATAAAATTGTTTTTCATTGTTTGTTTTAACAAACACGGACCTCGAGCCAGCCAACAAATAAATATTGAAATATTTATTTTTTGTAGGCCTTACAACTAGTTCACTAAACGGTTCCACAATACCCGGTTTTGCAAGTTCAACTAGTCTAGCAATGGACTTTGACAACTCATCCAGCTTACGGATAAATCGTCCTGGCTTTTAGCCGTTTTTATTATTTGTCTTTATAGCACTATATATAAGTGTTTTAAAGAATGATTCTATAGGCCCATTACTGGGTCTTTTATTGGATTTCTCAATAAAATTACGTATAATATTGGTCCAAAAAGTTGCGTGAACAAGGTATTTATTTAAAATTAGATCCAGCATTTCTGGACTTAAATAAATATAAATGGACCTTTTTCGGCAATGGGCAGAAAAGTTGGATCATCGACAACTTCCTTACTTTCTCCCAATTTTATACTGTCTATCAAATAAAATGTGGATGGCTCTTTACAATATTTAGTAAAATAATAAATGGCATCATCCACAATATTATTAACATATGGAAAAAGAAGAATGATTGCAATATTTCGTAACAATTTTTGTAATTCTCCAATATTATTTATGGAATTTGCACAACCCAAGGAATTTCTTAAAAATGAATTGAGATCAATATTGTCCAAACCAACTGCTTCATATATGTTGAGACACATAATTTTGCTGTAGTGGCTCGTACAAAATTGAACGCATACTTTTGGAAATGTGCGATTTAAATTATACAAAAAACTAAAACAAATATCATTGTACGTTGCAAGATCAATGCTGTTATATTCTTTTAAGCAAAACTAACATCAGTAATTATTCTTTGGCAAATAAGCCATTTTAAATTTATTTTTTTATCAGAACTCCCGCAGCTCACATAAAAATCTGCCTATTTCTGACGATTTATGATTGGAGAGAATCGCAGGAGACAGGAAAAACGATTCGAAGCTCTGGAATATGAGCAACCAATCAATATAAAAATGTACGTTTTTTGATAAAGTTCATTGGCTGTACTACATTCCCAGTCGCGTCAATATGCAGTGTCCGTAGTTTTAAATGGGTCAACAACATACTTATATGTTGTCTGTCCCATAAAAATATTTCTAGTTTCTTAGAAAGTAACTGAATAAAGTTGGCATACCCATTAGAAAACATATCGAAAGTATCTTTAAATGGATCTTTGTCAAAATCATATTTTCCATTATCCTCCGAAATTAAATTCTATAAAAGGTTAGTTTCTCATTAGTAATCTGATCATTACCAATTTTTTTGATCTATATTCAAACGGAGAAGTGTTTATATTGGAAGCCTTTTCTATAAATCTATTTATTGCTCTGCACTGCGTTGACTTTTTAAGGCCAATTGTATGGGGGATATGTGGCTGCTTGTGTATACACTTACAACAGCGTCAAGTGTCCCATGGAACAAAAAGTAGTTGCATGACGGATCTTTGCAGTAACCATGTGCAGCAAAAAAATTTTTGTTAAGTCTAATTGACTTGAAAAACAAAACACATGCGTTGTAATGAGAAGTGTATGCTTCTCGAATAATGTGTTCAATGCTTTTTTTTTTTTAAATATCGCACACAATTGATTTAACGTGGTCATAAATTCTTGGATACTGATTTCAGTATGCAAATTGCTGGAACCTGAAAGTGCTCCGTGGCATCCTTTCAAATTACTAACTAACTGAACTTCTCTGTTTAAGCTATCATGAACATTGTAGTATTTTTTCCGAAAGCATTTTAATGTCGCTTCGACAAAGCATGCGTCATTATTAAACTCAGACGGACAATTTGTAGGCTCATTAAGACTATAATTAGAACTATCATTTTCTATGCTAGACATATCACTAATATAATTGCTAATTTCTAGTTTACTGCTTACATGATTACTACCGTTAGATACGTCCTGGCGTTCTTTTGAGTAGGCAGCCTGAAACTGGTAAAACAACTCACCAATTAGGGTTATAAAAAATATTAAAGCTTTATGATTACTTATGCGTTTAAAACTTTTCGTAATAATTTTTCGATTCTTAACATTATCTGCCAGTTGAAAATGTGTCCAATTTCGCTCTATAAACTTATTGTTAACAATAAGTAATATAGATTGAAAATCAGTTGGACTAAAATTTCCAACTCGAGGTATTATGTTTCTGGCAATGGCTTCTGTTATGGCATCACGAAGTCCAAGAAAGATTGTCCTTAAAAAATTTTTAATATATTAATGGTAAAATTAAATCGAATAAGTTAAACAACAATTTTGTTATCTATTTTTAGTACAATTCCAAAAATTTTAAAAATGTACTAACGACTAAGTTATGTCAAAATTAAAAATTCCTTTATTTACCAGTTCGTTTGCCAAAAATGGTCATTTATTTTCAATAGCTTTTAGGTAACAAACAATTAAGAATGCTCTAGTGGAGTGGGAGTGCACAGCTAGGGGATACCGTTCCTACCAACAACAAACAAAGCTATAGCTATAGAATGAAAGTTACCTGATATAAAGGAAGCTACTTGCGGACAAAAGGAGCTCATAGGTTTTTAATTCGACGCGTGCATACATACGGACGGACAGACAGAAGCACAGACGGACAGACAGACGCACATGGCTGGATCGACTAGGCTATTGATGCTGATCAAGAATACATACTTTAAGTGGTTGAAGATCCTTTCTTCTGCCTGTTACATACACAAATATTATACCTCTTTTACCCATTTTTAATGGGTTCAGGCTATAAAAAGGAGAACACAATCAGTCACTAAATAAAATCTTACCGTTTTGCGTTTCCTGGAACCATTTCAAACTTGTTAGATTAAAATATAAACAAATAAATAACAAATGTTGTAAATATATACATATGTTTAAATATGTATACAAATTTCGTTTAAATTAAATAGCATGGAAAGCAAAAGTGCCGCTATGTTAGAGGCTGCCAACTTATGAAGAAAGCTAACCTATGGGAACATAAAGATGCCACCTTGTGAAAATAAGTAAAAGTACACAAGACGATGAATATTAACAAACGTGTTATTTATATAATATAAATACTTTATATAGTTGTTAAAACATTCTACAATTTGTATTATTATCTGTGTATATATAAATATAGAGACAAATAGAGACGATAAAATACATTTTTATTGTGAGCCCAATTACAAACTATTCATCTCCATGTATAGAAAGAGTGACCGATATTTTAATTATTCACTTATTTTCAGAGATTGACACTTTTATATGCTAGGCTTATAATGGGTTGGCAGGGTCTATTATAACGGTACTTTTATGTATTCAAGAAAACAGCGCAATATATACATATGTTTTTTTGCATTAACATAGGATGTTATGAGAGAAATAGAAAACTGAGAATTTCTCAAAATCTGTACCGATGATTTTAATGAAATAACTACCAAAATGATTGATAAATCGTGCTCAATATGCACAACTTCCGTGCATTTGGGGCCGTTTTCGGAGAAAGAAAATAATAAAGATTAAAATATGGCTGGCATTTAACAGTATGATATCTAATATTGCCAGCATGTTTTTTTGCATTAACATGGAATTGTATGAGAGAAATAGAAAACTGAGAATTTCTCAAAATCTGTACCGATGATTTTAATAAAATAACTAGCAAAATGATTAATAAATCGTGCTCAATATGCACAACTTCCGTGCATTTGGGGCCGTTTTCGGAGAAATAAAATAATAAAGATTAAAAGATGGCTGCCATTTAACAGTATGATATTTAATTTTGCCAGCAATTTTTCAATTGCAATGCAATGCAATTTTTCCGTAAACTGCGCTGTTAAGTATGACTTAATATTACTCATATAATTTGCTTTGACTTATTAATTTAATTAACTGTGAGTCCTTTTCGTTTTTTCATGGTAACATATTATTCAAATTGGATTGGATCCCGCCCAATTCTGTACAAAATTGTTCAACACTGATGCCAGGCAGTGATTCAGTTCACGTAGGAAATAGCAGTTCGATAGACTTTATGAATGAACTATATGAGGTTGGTTTACAATTAATTAATTTTCTGAAAATCTGTACCGTCCATTTACTTAAATTTAGTGCCTAAAGTTTCTTAAAATATGTATCTACAAGAGGGTATAGCGTGCATTGAGGGCCATTGCCTCTGAGTTAAGAAATAAGAAGGTTGTTTTTTTGCGGTCATTTTATGTGGGGCTGACATGGGATTGTTGGACTCTTTTCCAAATATCTTAAAAATGGTACCGACGATTTGATTCAAATGTTCACAGTTGGCTAGGTGAAACTATAGGTCTTAATAATATATATACGGTTTTCGGGGCCATCATCGCTAAATTTAGATATTTATGGAATGGTGAAAAACTAATATTTTAACCCCTTGGTTTACCAATATTATAAATTAAAATTCAAAAACAAATGTATGTAGGCAGTAAATAATTTAATTTTTGCAATTCTGCATTTAATTTTATTAGGTTCTGTGCTTAAAAACATAAAAGCGGCGTTAAAATATTTTTAATTTGGCCACACTGGAGCAGCCTGTCTGGTAGATCAGCATAATTTTCATAGATACAGTGTTACGATGACTGTATGGTGGCTTTTTTCGCGTGTCTGACAGATGACAACTGAAAAATAAGGGATTTACATCAATGAAAATTATGAAGATTCGGTTATATATATACATACATACATTCATATGTATATTCATATTTAACTTTTTTTCGTTCGCATATGCGTCCTTTCCCCTGTCAGCCACATATGTACCTACATATGTACCATATACATATGTATATGTATGTATGAATCTGCATGTATTTGCATATCACAACCCAATAATCAATCGCTTCCACGCCCTGTCTCTTGCGCAAATAATACTTTATTGAACAAAGTAATAAAACTCAGTAATCTAGCCTCATTTGAAAGAAACCCTTTTGCTTTAATTATTTAAAAAAAAAACATGTACATACCTACATATATATGTATATAACTAGTTTAATGCTGCTTTACGCCTGTCAAAATATAGTGATGACAGCCTTGTAGCTAATATAAGAACTAATGCAAGAGAATATTTGATTTATTGTAACCTCATTAATTTTCATTAATTTTAATTGTGTTTTTTTTTTTAATTTTGTTTATTATGAATGTTCTTTTTATTTGTGAAAAATAATAATGCCTTTTTAATGATTTTCCTAAAAACTTTGACCTCTGTCTTCCGACACTTGCGGGTTGAATATAGAATAGACATCGTCTTAATTATCACTTTAAACAAAAAAGGAAGCTCCTTAAGGATTAAAGCTCACCCAGACTGAGAAAAAAAATGCTTTACATATGTAGTAAATAACTATGTACACATAATGTAAGGTGCATGCGTAGCTGCAGATGACACATATGTATGCCTGCATAAGTTATAATAGAATTCATTAAAAAATTACAGATGCACCAAGGCGACCTTGTCCTAGTAAATTAATTAAACGTTAACCTTGTGAAGGGTTATTATGATGGCCATTGAAATCAGCATCAACATCTCTAAAGCTAGACATGTCAATTACCGCCTTCCTATGACAGGCCCATGTAAAATGTCCCTATAAAACACATTGGTAGGGGTCTCCATGCCTGAGAGCCAATAAGCTCTAGCACCAATCTACTACCTCGACTTGCAGGAATCCCCTGTGTTGTGTTAGCAGGCTACTGTACTGAAAAATATGTTACAGAATATTAAAATTAAAAATTAAAATAAAATTATTAAATTGAACAATTAATAACTCATTTATTAAAATCAGGTTGCATAAATATGTATACAAAAATGTATACAGTTATACAGCAATATGTCAACCGCAAATTAAAAATTGAAGGTAAAAGCCCTTTTCATTAAATTTGTAAGAATCATTTTGGATGTAGATCACTTCTTAGATATTAATTGTTCAAATTTGTGTTTTTACATATGTATTTCACTAAACGCTTTTCTATTTGAAATATAAACTTAACTGTTCATATGTTTTATTTTATACCATGCCAATTAACCAATGGAATAGCATTTATTTAATTTAGTTTCCGGTATTACACTTTACAAATGTTTGTCATTGTCAATTTGTTATGGCTTGAATTAGGGACGAGCGCTATTTACTCAACCTGTTTAGTATTTAAAAGTAACTAGTTACTGCTGTTACACTTTTCAAAAGTAACAGCGACAAAAATCATCCAATGACATGCACAGATAGTAAAGCAAGGGTCTACATTTTGGTCGTTATTTACTTAAAAGATTGACACCGAAAAAGAGATTACTACGACGATATAACAAATGACTGGATCAATGCTAATGGCTTAATTTGTATTCACTTTACACGAAGATATACTTTTTAATGTTTATTTTTATTTTTACTTTGTCACAGGCCTGTACTCAGGCTGTTCCTTTCGTACTGGCTACAAAGCTAAGAACTATGAAAATGATGTGTACCTGGCTGTTATTTTGAACTTGCAACTGCACAGCCTCACTTACAAAAATCGTTTAAATTTGTGCGAACGTTTTTACCTTATCTTAAAATGGATAAAAAACGAATGAAATTTGGTCCTTATTTAGGGCTGACGACGACAAATTTGCAAAATGCATTATTTTCAAAGAAAAGTAATCCTATAGTTTCCTACAAATTTAATAAAATAAAAAAAAAAAAATTGTTATACAGCCTAACAATATTAAATTTTAATTGGTTTCCTTATATATATTAAAAAATTGCTGCGCGCCCAAAGGTCAAGTAAAAGTCGCTGTTATATGTAACTGTCACAGTTGTCACTGTGACACAAATATAACATTATCGATCATCTCTAGATTGACACAGCTGATTAGTGATGAGCTTATTTGATGTAGTGTTTTGTAATTGTCCGCAAGGTGTACACGCGAAGCCGACAGGTAAGAAAATCTATGAGTAGGATACATTTTTCATTGATAAGTTTATTGCATAGTTTGTAAACCCTAAATAAAACAGCTTCAAAGGCACGTTTTTTTTAGCTAAATTTAGTAACACTGTCTAAAAGCCTTTGTCCACTGTCCAACTTTAGCAAAATGTGTGAAACGCGCCCTGTGTGTTTCCCCATAAGATAACACATTTCACTCATCTTTCAAAACAGGCAAATAATGTGTAAATTCACCCCGAACATTTCGTGAATTTAGCGATGACTAATCGAGATTTCTATCGATGCTGTGAAAAATGGTAAAGTATCGTTAACATAAACAGCTGATATATCAAACTTTAAAATGTGCGTTAAATTAGCGGTGGTGACTTTAGGCTTTAGGCACTAATTTTAACTAAATGGACGGTACAGATTTTGAGAAAATTAACTAATTGTAAACCAACCTCATATAGTTCATTCATAAAATCTATCGAACTGCTAGTTCGTACGAGAACTGAATCACTGCCTGGAATTAGTGCTGAACAATTTTGTACAGAATTGGGCGGGAACCAATTCAATTTGAATTATATATAATCATGAACAACGCAAAAGGACTCATAGTTAATTAAATTAATAAGTCAAAGCAAAAAATGAGAAACATTAAGTCATACTTAATAGCGCAGTTTATGGAAAAATTGCATTTTTCCATTTTTTTCATTACATCCTATGTTATTGCAAAAAAACATGCTGGCAATATTAGATATCATACTGTTAAATGGCAGCCATATTTTAAACTTTATTGTTTCATTTCTCCGAAAACGGCCCCAAATGCACGGTAGTTGTGCATATATAGAGCACGATTTATCAATTATTTTGCTATTTATTTCATTAAAATCATCGGTACAGATATTGAGAAATTCTCAATTTTCTATTTCTCTCATAACATCCTATGTTAATGCAAAAATACATATGTATATATTGCGCTGTTTTCTTGAATACATAAAAGTACCGTTATAATAGACCCTGCCAACCCATTATAAGCCTAGCATATAAAAGTGTCAATCTCTGAAAATAAGTGAATAATTAAAATATCGGTCACTCTTTCTATACATGGAGATGAATAGTTTGTAATTGTGCTCACAATAAAAATGTAAATATTGTATCTATATTTATATATACACAGATAATAATACAAATTGAAGAATGTTTTAACGACTATACTAACTATTTATTTTATATAAATAACATTTTTAGATAATATTCATCGTCATGTGTACTTTTACTTATTTTCACAAGGTGGCATCTTTATGTTCCCATAGGTTAGCTTTCTTCATAAGTTGGCATCCCCTAACATAGCGGCACTTTTGCATTCCATGCTTATATCAAATAAGTTTTTTTATTTGTAGTTCTGTACATCACACAACTGCTCAATTGGGCCATATATGTACATCATGCACAGCAACCGCCTGTCGCCACTGGTCTACGATCGGGAAACGAATACAACGGTTGTCGATGATGTGACCACGGCTGCCGCCGATGATAAACAGCACTCGTAGAAGAGTGCCGATCCGCTTAGTGCGCTGCTAATAGCCTGTGGGCTTAGTTTATTGATTAGCTTAATACACTCGCAGATTGTTGCAACAAATACGTCGCCGAGCGACAGCAACAAGAACAAATTGCGTCTCATTTCCATGTGCGCTTTTGGCGAGAAACCGAATAGGCCTAGAGAGCATCGATTGCGGCGACGCAAAAGTTTGTACAGGGCGTTACCAAACCATAATTGCACCCTAACTAATTAGTATTTTATTTCACAGCCCAGCAGCAATCATTTATTGAGCGCACGACGTAGCAAACCGACTCAGATTTAATGCCCTACAAGGCTACGAGTGCATCGATTCGCTGGGCATGACCAAGGATTACATTTACATAGGCCTCGTCTGTACATATATATATATATATATATGTATATATATATATATATACTGTATGTTGTACTGTATTGTATTGCAAAATACAAACACATGTATACATACATAAATATATATATGTATATATTTATATATATATGTACAGACGAGGCCTATGTAAATGTAATCCTTCAAACTATAATTGTAATTGTCTTATATTTGAGTTTGTAATGGAATGCGGAGAAAATGAGCATAAAGCTAACGCAACACATATTGTATTTTGTATAAGTATTAAGAATATTACTTTCCCGTCACTTTCTATATTCCACTTACAAAATGTTAATAGCTGAAATTAGTAATAGTAATTTTAAGCTTGTACAAGTATATCATGTATACATTTTTCCATAGACTAAACCACATACATATTTATTTAAAAACGTGTTTGCTTTATTTATAAATAAAATTGCATACTGGTCGCAAATGGTTAAATTTTAAAACCTCAATATTTATTGACTTGTTTGCGAATATGCATTTTTTAAACGTACGGTTTGTTAAATTAACCAAAAATATGTTATTTAATTCTTTCCACACCACTATTTTTTAATGTGGTATCCCCAGTAGGCCTAATCCACACTGCATTAGTACTTACTAATTTTTAAAATTTATAAATACATCTACTATCTACTACAACTACGTGTATTTTCAATTTAATAAACAAAGAAAGTTACATCTGAATAAGAGTATTTGTGTTAATATATAATATGGCATGCTTAAATATTTTATTTCTGCTCCACAGCCCACAGCTCCACGTAAAATTTGCATGCTGATATTAAACGATATAAATATTTGATAATACTCATTACTAGCCAAAATAGAAACTAGCGAACAATGACGTGAAGTTCTACTCAACTCTTGAGTGTGTCTCACTCATTGTCAAAAACACTTTGCAAGTATGGATCTAAGCTGGTCGTATCTAAGCTCACATATCTTATCTATAATATTTTTTTGATCATTTTTATGTTCTTTTCTTACACATTGACCACATATAAAACAATCACATTTACGGCAGCGAGAATTTAAAGGGCCTTTACTTTTAGACGAGCAGTGCAAACATAAATCATTTAATGAATCTCCAAATTTGAGAATTTTATCAAACATTTCATGTCTAAATAGGTCATTAGACTCTAAATTTGTAAGTGAAAAGTTTGACACATCTGAATAATTTACATTTGGCTTTAAGCGTTTCAAAATTTTTAAATACACCTGAGCTTTAAGAATTGCCAACGGGGTCTAAAAATAGTATCTCGTGTCATTTTTGATTAATAATTAATATATATAAATGATTTCTGTAACAATGAGGTACTATTAAAGTTGAATTTTTTACTAAACCATCTTCCATATCCTTTCATTGTTAAAGCAATAATCATTAAGTTGACAAGGCAAATTTATGAAAGACTCCTCTCCATTTTCGTATAAAATAGTTGTTAAGCAGCATCCACAATTAAGTTTGTTAACCAATTTCGGCCATTTAATGAAAATAAATCCTTAATAGTAAGGTAGTGCATGAAACGGCGGAAATGAAATGAAACGGAATTTGAATCGCCGTGCACACATTTAAACAATGATTCACAACTTAAAATTTACAATTCTGAATCAATGTTTAACTCACTATGCTGTTTTAAAATGGACAAATCTCTTTTATATTTTCCTTCCATTTTAAAAGCACATTTGTTTTCTACGATTATGTAGGAATGGTCATGGCATATGGATGCTTCGTGACTTTGTTCTTGAATTTTTAATATTGTAGAAAAATCTTTTTTAAACATTCCAGTAGGAATATACTAAAAGTATAGTCTTTTATTAAGCGATTTTTTCCAACTTTCCTTGTGCTTGGAAAGTTTTCGCTTGTTTGACATTTCATCGAACCGTTTCTCAGTTTTTTATTAATATTTATTTTTTGTAGGCCTTACAACTAGTTCACTAAACGGTTCCACAATACCCGGTTTTGCAAGTTCAACTAGTCTAGCAATGGACTTTGACAACTCATCCAGCTTACGGATAAATCGTCCTGGCTTTTAGCCGTTTTTATTATTTGTCTTTATAGCACTATATATAAGTGTTTTAAAGAATGATTCTATAGGCCCATTACTGGGTCTTTTATTGGATTTCTCAATAAAATTACGTATAATATTGGTCCAAAAAGTTGCGTGAACAAGGTATTTATTTAAAATTAGATCCAGCATTTCTGGACTTAAATAAATATAAATGGACCTTTTTCGGCAATGGGCAGTTGGATCATCGACAACTTCCTTACTTTCTCCCAATTTTATACTGTCTATCAAATAAAATGTGGATGGCTCTTTACAATATTTAGTAAAATAATAAATGGCATCATCCACAATATTATTAACATATGGAAAAAGAAGAATGATTGCAATATTTCGTAACAATTTTTGTAATTCTCCAATATTATTTAAGTCTAATTGACTTGAAAAACAAAACACATGCGTTGTAATGAGAAGTGTATGCTTCTCGAATAATGTGTTCAATGC